AGGTAAAAAAAAAAGAAAGAAAGAAAAGAGTAAATGAAGTTATCAGAAAAAAGTGATAAAGTGATGGGGAGATATTGAGAAGAGGAGGTAGAGGGGAGGGAGTGGGCATGGATTTGATCAAAACACCTTGCATGCTTATATGCCTGTATGAAATTCTCAATAAATTATTTTTAAAAATTGTTTGACTTAATGGGAGGAGTTGAAGGGGAGGGAGTGGGCATGGATTTGATCAAAACACCTTATATGCATGTATGAAATTCTCAATAAATTATTTTTAAAAATTGATTTACTTATTTTTATGTGTATGAGTATTGCCTACATTTAAGTAGGTGTACCATATGTGTGCAATGCCCATGAAGGCCAGAAGAGGGTGTAGGATCCCCTGGAACTGCAGTTAAGGATTGTTGTTAGCCACATATGGGTGCTAGGAATCAAACGCCAGCCCTATGCAAAAGCAGCCAGTGCTCTTAACCATTAAGCCATCTCTCCAGGCCCAACATGAACATATTTTAATTTACATTCTCTGTCCACTGTTGAGGGAGTTGGGTGTCATCTGGATTTGAGGGTGTATGAACAAAGATTCAGGGGCTATCTTTTGCCCACTTCTCATTGTACATGTGCACCTGCTTTAGCTGGGTCTGTTTATGAACTAGTGGAGCATCACAATGGATGTGTTAAGTTTTATAATTTTCCCCATGTGTCCAAGGACTGAACTGGGCACTATTTATTGGAAATAGTCCTTTGCTGAAGCGCTCCCATTTTGACTTTTGTTGTGTTGAGCATGTGTCAAATGTCTATTGCTAAGCTCTGTTCTTTTCCAATAGTATTTTTGATTGTCTTGCAACACTGGCACTGTGTCTCCACAACGGCAAAAGTCTTTGTATACAAATATTGCTCTCTTCCTCCTGTTTTTTCAGGAATGCCCTGGCCACTCTTGAACCTTTAGAATCATCTATGTGCCTTAAAAATATGTAATTTGAAATTGCACTGAGTCTGCTCACACACAAATCATTTTTTTAAATTTTTATTTTATGTGTATGAGTGCATTGCCTGTGTGTAAGTGAGTGCACCCGTGTCGTGTAATGCCACGGAGCTCAGAAGAGGGCTTTGGATTCCCCTGGAACTGGAGTTAAGGACAGTTCATAGCCGCCATGTGGGTGCTGGGAATCGAACCTGGGTCCTCTGCAAGAGCAGTCAGTACTCTTAATCGCTGAGCCCCATCATTGTGCATGTGTGTGCACGTGCATGTATGTGTGGGCTTGTGTGCCATGGCACACCCATGGACGTCAGAACAACTTTGTGGAGTTAGTTCTCTCCTTTTACCTTTACATGGGTTCAGAGGCTCAAACTCAGGCTGCCAGACTTATGCAGCAGGTGCCTTTGCTCACAGAGCCATCTCACTGGCCTTCACTCACAAAATCTCTATAATTAGTCTTCTAACTCAAGGACATTCACATCCTTCTATGTATTCAGAATCTCTTCATGTCATCTTGATTACATTTTGTAGATTTCTGTGAAGGGATTTGTGTATCTTTTACTATGTTATCACTGGTACTTGATACTTTGGTGTTATTGCAAATGGTGTCCTTTTTTATTTTTTATTTTATTTTTTTGTCTTTTTGA